TTTGTCATCTCAATAGACACAAAGCCTTGGCCATCGTAGAAAAATTTCAAGTCACCATCATTGCTCGTGTTAACATCCCCTCTCCATGCCTTTGACCCGCCTCCACTTGTCATAAATTGAATTGGACTACATATATCCAAAACAAATATATAATATATTATTACACTCACGTAATTTTAATTAAAATTATTAGCTAGCCAATAGGTTCGATTAATTATGTGTCGAAATTATTAATTATTCTACCTTGTGCGGTCGCTGATGTGTTCCAGACAATGGTCGTGCCCGTTCAGGTACAAGTCTACTTCGTACGCCTAATTAGGTTTTGAGACAACAACAAAATAATTTGTACGATTAATTGTTTGATTAGTGTTGTTCATTAGCTTAATTGGTACTTGTGAAAAACAATCAAGGCATAATTAACAAAACCGACAAAAGACATACTCGAAGAATCGGAAGAAGACGGTGTACGAGCTCGTGGGTATCGCCGTGGTGGCTAACACTTCGGATTGCGTGATGACCCACCACGATTTTCCATCTTGCCTTTGATTTCATTAGTGCTGATTCAAGGTCCTGTATATATTTGTAATTAACAAAATAATAATAATAATAATAATAATAATAATAATAATAATAATAATAATAATAATAATAATAATAATAATAATAATAATAATAATAAATAAATAAATGCTTGGGAAATATATGTTGGGATAAAATGGACCAATCCGTAGCAGGCAATTGTGGCTCCCACTAGCTAATAACTACTATGAAAGGGTCTACAGAAAAGAACGTATAAAGGCTTGGCCGTTATGACACATGCCCATATTCTATGATTTATATCCATTTGCCTATCAAAATCAATCATACACACCCACCCAACTTCTTATTGACAATTATTAAATTATTATAAATGCAAGGCGATGCAAATTTTTTACTTTAGGGACAAGTAGACATGGCCACGGGCGGCCCGGCCCGTGGCCCGACCCGTGACCTGGTACCGGACCGGCCCGGCCCGGTACCGGTACCGGCATGAATAGTGCCGGGTTCGAGAACTGGACCGCGGCCAATCCGGTCCGGTTAAGGGTCACGGTTTTTTTTTTGTCCTGGCGGGCCGGGCCGGGCCGGGCCAATTTTTTTGCTTTTTTTAAGGGCCGTACCGGCCGGTGAACCGGCGGTTCGGGCCGATTCTATGAACCGGTCCTGCGTTCCTAGCGAACCGGTCGCGGTTCGACTGTTTGAGGGCCCGTGGCCCGGCGGGCCGGGCCCGACACCTGGCCACGTCTAGGGACAAAGGAACCTACAAATATATATTCGTCCACGAAAATAAAAATATATTTTGTAAATCCTTGATCAAATTTGAATATATAATTCAATTTTGGTCTGTTTATTTTTCTAATGTTTTCTTTTATATACTTTAACTCATCAGTAGTAGTACGTTATGCTGCAATTTGTATCACTGTTGGGATATTATCGCGAAAGTGGTTCATTATTTTTTGGGATTAAAGTTCTAAAAATGCTAAAAATCGCTACATACGTACTGTTTTTGATAAGTAGTGCCCCAAAAATGAGACAAATTGTAACATAACGTATTATTATTGATGAAAGAAAAAGTTAATGTACAAAAAAGGACTTTAGACGAGTAAACGGACCAAAAAGGATTGTTCGACGTAAGCTTTGATTGACGGTTAAAATATGTTGTACTGTTCACTTGTCCAACAAACCTTTGTTTTGAAAGTGTTGCACGATAAAAATTTTAAAAACCTTATTGATGGATATGGCAGATACCCATAACAAATAGTTAGGTGTTTAGTCCATCTCCACACTATTTTGATACATCAGACAAGACTTACTTTTAATAAGTTGGCCGTGTAGCTATTTACAGGAGACACACCACGCCAATCGTACTTATGATTTTCCGGTTCGGTGAAGTATTGACCCACGAAAGGAGTCGTGTCCACGAAGAAAAATTCAGCGATTTCT